GCATAGGGATATCCAGTTTCCCTGCACCATTTCTCCAAGAGATTATCTTTTCCACAGTTTTTTTGGCATCTTTGTGAAGAATCAGTTGGCTGTAGATGTGTGAGTTTATTTTGGGTATCTTTACTGATCTGTGTGCCTGCTTTTATAGCAGTCCTATGCTGTTTTGGTCAGTATGACCCTGTAGTATATTTTATACTCAGGTATTGTTACACCTTCAACTTTGTTCATTTTGTTCAAGATTGTTTTGGTTATTTGTACTCTTTTGTGCTTTCACAAGAATTTTAGGATTGATTTCTAATTCTGTGGAATGTCACTGTTATTTTCACAAGAATTGCATCAGACCTATAAATCACTTTGGGTAGTATGGACATTTTAACAATATTAATTATTCCAAATCATGAACATTGGAGACCTTTCAATTTTTTGGTGTTCTCTTCAATTTCTTTCATCAGTGTTTTATACTTTTCAAGGTAGAGATCTTTTACTTCTTGGTTAAATTTATTCTTTAGTATTCTAATTTTAATAGCTGTTTGTGAATGGAATTGTTTTCTTGATTTATTTCTCAGCAATTTTATTGTTATATAAAATGCTACTGATTTTTGTGCATTCATTTTACATCCTGTAACATAACTGAATTTGTTAATAATGTTCTAATAGTCTTTCAGCAGAATTTTTAGATATTTCTCTATATAGAATCATATCAACTGAAAATGCATAATTTGAATTCCTCCCTTTTTATATTCCTTGATTTCTTTCTCTTGCTTATTTACTCTGGCAAAAATTTCATTGGAGGTTTTGAAAAGCACTAAGCCATCAACTTGTATTCACTGAGCATTGCTGGAAGTCAGTATTAGATACTGAACATGAAATATGAAATAATATCAAGTGAAAAATTATGTGAGATATAAAATAATAAAACTAATGGTATAAAATATGAATTATGAAATTAAAAAATTAAAAGTTTTCAGGATCTCTTTTGGTTTGTTTTACATATCCATGATCCCGTTTGACCTCAATTATGCTTTCTGTTCTCTTATAGAGCTTGTTGGGAAGAGCAAAAATATACAAATGGGAAAGCAATTCAATATGTCTGCTCTGTTCTGATTGTAGGTCTGATAAGAACTCTAATAAGACACCAGAAGTATGGGTTTAAGTTTTGGGATTCATGGGTGTGAGTAGGATTTGAGTTGTCTATGTAGGACTTATTTATTGTCAAAGACAAAAGTATGAAAGAAAGTACAGTTGACCATCGAATGAACTGACCTCCCTCAAAGCACTGTTGGCCTAGTGACCTTCACATACATTAGACCTTCAAGTCATTTATACAAAACAAAAATTTCTTCTGTCTGTGTAATGGAAAAAGGGCAAGGAAAGAAAAGAAGAGTGAGAAAGCCAATTTATAATGTACTAAGACAAGAGGATCTCATTGTTTTAAACAATCCCTGGATGGAAGGTAATGCGCATATATATATATATGTGTGTGTGTGTGTGTGTGTGTGTGTGTGTATGTGTGTGTGTGTGTGTGTGTGTGTGTGTGTGTGTGACTCACTAATATTTAGTGTCAGCATAGAACACTATGGCTAAAACTCTGGGGTATATAGAAAGAAAAGGGAGAACTTACTTTTACATAACTCAGGTTGAAGAAATGAAATAACAACTACCATACACTAACCAAATGAACTGTATTTTCACAGTACTGACCCATAAAAATCTGAAATAAGTAGATGGTTAAGAAAATGTTATTTTGTCTGGAAGGACCTTACCCTAAATGTGGCAGATTTTACCACAGTAACACTTCAGCTATTTTTTAATGTTATATTTTAATCTTTGACTCTACACATTTTTACGGACAACCATTAATGCCATATTTGGTTGGGATGTTAGATCAAGGTGAAAGAATAGGATTTTTGCTTTTTATCTTTTTAGAATTATGTCAGGCTTTTGCTGCCTCAGGGAACACGACTTGACTGAAGGCAATGTTGTTATATGATGCTGTAGAGTAGTCTAAAGATAAAAATCAAAAGTATTTAGTGATTTATCTTCCTAGTTTCAGCATGCTAATATCATCATTTCTTTTATTTGCATTGACATGGGAACAAATGACATTAATCATCTTCAAAGATTTCCCTTGCTCTTGAAGTCTGCTGGGGTAGTTTAGTGCCATTTCACAGAAACTCTTATATAAAGAATTTGTAAAGTCTGAGGAGAGGGAGTAAGAGTGGAAAGGGGAGGGGGAGAAGGGGAGAAGGAGGAGGAGGAGGAGGAGGAGGAGGAGAGACAGAGAGACAGAGAGAGAGAGAGAGAGACAGAGAGAGAGAGAGAGAGATCCCCAGACCTAACCCTAAAATAGGAGTTAGGTCATGGAGTTGTTCACAAGGTCAAAGACCAAAAGGACCAACTGAAGTCTCATGGGAAAGCAAAAGCAAAAATCAAACAGCAAAAAGCAAATGGATTTACTTGTGTTTCAACATATAGCAGTACCTTGATACTCATTCTTAATTGGTTCCAAGAGGCAGGACAAGTATCAAAAATGACAAAGGATAGCAAAGTCACAAGTCAACTGACAACAACAAGTCCTAGCTTTTCTACTCATAATCCTGTCTGACATCTGGGGTGAATCCTTCCATATGGTCTCTGGATGGCATCTTCCCCATTGTCCTCTCAGGGACCACTTACGTATGGCTTTCTTTCTCCCATATCTTCAGCTACTTCCTTGTCATTACACAAGGATTCTTCCCATTGGTATTTAACACAAACACAAATGCCTCACCTGTTCAGCAGCCACAGTGACAACAATAGAAACAGCAGCGGCAGCAAACACATGCACAAACTCCAGACCTTCTACAAAATCTCCTTTAACTCTGTGTTCACCCATCTCCTATCTTTGATATCATTCATAGACAAATTCCTCAATTAGGTTGCAGACATTTGTTGTCTACTGCCCATGTGCTACCTGTCTCGCAATGGTCCGGCTTCTGCCCCTGGCCTCTTTCTCTTCCGGCATTCTAGGTCTTAGAGAAGGGCAGTAACAGTTCCACCCAGGAGTCCACACCTGGAGCCCAGGAATCCATCTGACTCTCTCTGCTTTTCTCATTTCCCACACACAATCACCTGGCTCCATTCATTCGGTCGCTAAATCTCTCAAATCAGTCTACCTATTTTCCTTTCTCATTGCCCCTCCCTAATTGGGGAGGCTGTTCTTTCTCTATGTTCACGCCAAGTGTGGTTGGTGGATGCGTGCTGCTATGGAATGAGCTCATAGAGACTTAGGGATGCTGCTGCCTAGATAGGGAAAAGATCTAGTCCCTGGAGACTTTCTCAGTACATTCACAGCCTCCTTTAGTAGCTCTTCTGTTTAAAATGGTGATTCTGAATCTTTCCACTGGTTCCCTTCCACTTCCATGGCATTTTCCTCTGATGTATGCGGAGCGCCTCTGTTACTTCTAGAAGCTCTGAACTCAGAGTTGTTGTTTTAACTCTGTGGTTAGGGCCTGGCTCTGACCTAGACTAGCTCTGTGGGTTGGAGAGATCGAAAACTCTTAATGTTCTTTTTTGTAAAATAGGTTGTCTTCCCTAGACCAGTAGTCCTCAGTTCCAGTTGCACATCAGAATCACCTGAAGAGTGATTAAAACTCCCAGGGCTCATGCTGGGCTTTAGCACAGCGACATAGATTCCCCATGCCTATGCCACAGGTTTTAATTTTTAGTATTTTTTTTCTCCCGGTCAAGATTTTTGAAAGCTGCCACAAAGATGCTAGTGTGCAAGCAAGGTTGAGTACCACTGATTTAACAATTTTTGAAGGACCTTTGTTCTGGCATTTCCTGTTTTTATCATGCCCTAATCCCACATGGAGGTTTCTTTTCTTTTAATGTTTTTACTAGGTTGGGAAGAAATAGTTGTGAAGCTCCCCCCACCCCCTTCCATCTGCTGTTTGTTCTTATTTACATACGATGGAACCTAGCCCACTGATTTACAACTCTGGTTCCCTTACAACTGTTATTGAACTGAAAACATAGCAGCAAATTTATTAAACAGAAAAAAATTATTTTGAGCTTTGTGCTGACAGTTCCTTATAGGACAAAGGAAACACTGAGATATTTATCTTTCTAAAAGTAACATTTAAAATTGATTTATAATCTCATAATTGCAAATTTAAATTTAATTCTGTAGCCAGACCCCAGCTTGTATTTTTTCTTGGGTATTTCTTTAAGGAAGCCAAAGGGTCTCTGCAGAGGGGTAGGATTTCCAGGGGCTGTACCCATAGACACTGGGGCCTCCTCACTGCCTAGAGTGGCTTTTGAAGTTAAAAATCATTATCTCTTTTCTCCAATTCTTTTTACTGGCAGCAAAGCCAGGGTAAACCTGTCCTTACAGTGGAGATGACCTCACTCTTTAAACGCTAGAGTATGAACGAAACTTTTAGAAGACATCCTTTCTGTACAGCTCCTTTTGAACCTATCCTTCTAGATTAGAAGCAACAAGACTTTGCTGAGCTGCAAGGCAGTAGAGAGGCATGGAGGAAGATGATAGAGAATAGCCAAACATTTGGTGTAATCACTGCCACTAACTTGGGACAGATTTGGGATCTTGACATAAGTCTGATTAATTTTGGCAAAGTGCCCTTTGGGATACTGGCTCTTCCTGCCTGTTTCTGTGCTAACAGTGTCTCTCTCACTGATTCCTTAGCATTCTACTGCAGTACTTATTTGAAATACACAGCCCATGCATTTGCTTGTTCCACCCAAGTCTTTGTTAGAGTAATGAATTTGGTTACTACTTTGATAAAGATATGTTAATTTAGTAGTCATGGACAGCTGAATTATTCATTAGTCGTGACTTATAGTGAATTCCTGTCCCCATATAATCCTTTTAAAAGTAGGCCCTCAAATTATTCTCATGGAAAAAATGGTTAGTTATTTCATGGTATAGAAAGTGGTCCAGAAAACCCTTGTCTGAGGTTTTTGACTCTGATGCTGTCTCTTTGGGCATTTTCTTGTAGATGGAGGAATTGATTGAAGGTGTTCGCTGGGCCTTTATTGACATGCTAGAGAAAGAAAATGAGTGGATGGATGCAGGGACAAAAAGGAAAGCCAAAGAAAAGGTAAGGATTCCTTTTGACAAAAAATACAAATTTTGATTTCATGGTTTTGCTTGACACTGACTATGTGACTGATTTTTATATTGACTGAGCTATTGGCTTTGAATGCCCCTAAAGTTAGGTGTATGTTTTGAATGAATACATAGATTTCATCAGTAGGAAGTAGGAGAGAATAAAAGTGGACTCTGTTTCTCTGACTGCATTTTCAAATGCTCTGCAATTCAGACTTCCCTTCTCTCCTAATTTCTATCTTTAAGAGCTACTGAATTCTGCCATGAACCGTCATTGGCTATGGCAGAATGAAGAGCTGTAGGGAGCCATGGGGAGCATCTGGTAGGAGAGCCCTCAAGATGCAATGAAGAAGAAAAACTCATATTGACTACATGTTCTCCTTCCCTGGGCGTGATGTCTTGAGGCAAATCCTTTCCTATAACCAAGTAGATCTGCTCCTAACCCATTATTTTGTGTCAATGATCCAAAGAGCATGCTTGTAAACTGCAGATCAGTGGAGGTCAATTGTGTAGGAATCAAAAATATTTCTTGATAAAAGTGGACATGTCGTTGGCCTTGTAAGATTTTCAGACACTACGCAACAAGATAAGGGAGCAAATGAAATTATGAATAATTTCTTATTATTAATAAATTCTTATTAGCTGTGTTATTTAGAATGTGGACTATCTTGAATTCTAGGTACTCCTAAAGAGCTGGAGCCAAAGTGGGTAGGGTACATCCTCTTCCCTCTCCGTGGATGCCATTCTGCAGCTGGGAGATTCTGAAATGAAGAGCATTTCTGCTTTAGACAGGTGGTACCTGGCTTGCTTGGCCATCCCATAGACTTCTGGGCCCCTCCCTAGAGGTCTGCTTTAGTGATCATTTTTTGTGATTTTAGTCTTCCGGGTGATTGTTACCATTAGAGGGCCCAGGGAACTCTATGTAGTCTATGTAGTCATACTGACTCAACCTCAGCACAAATATTTGCCAAATTTTCTTTCTTTCTTTCTTTCTTTCTTTCTTCCTTTCCTTCTTTCTTATACAGATGGAATCCAGGGTCTCATATATGCTAGGCAAGTACTCTACCACTGAGCCACATCCCCAGCCCTGAGCACGACATTTAAGCTTTATGGTCAAGAAGCAAAGAGCAGGCAACACTCTGGGAATGCCTTGCTGAAACATTAACGTGAAAAAGTTTAACAAGGGTGTTTTCTAGAGCCTTACTACTCCAGAGATGGATAAACCTTGTCATAGAAATTTTTGTCAATCTGAAAAGGCTACTCGGTGTTCGTAGTGAAGAAAGAACTTGGGCTGGGGAGGAGACAGGGAATGTTGGAAGAAGACAAAGGGTATATTGGCTTTCTTTTCCCTCCTCCAAGATCTGTCAGCTGTCATAAGTCATGTAAGGCAGAAGCTGATAAAGACAGAGGCACGCTGGCTGTGTGGATAGGAATCTCTCCTGACAGTAGATGAAACTTTCTTTACCAGAATATGGCACTGTTTTTTGAAGGCATCATTTATTTGCTGAGCTGATTTGTAGTATATGGAACAGAACGTGGCTTGCATTGGGCAATTGAGCCCTCAGCATGTTAGAAGCAGTTTATCTTAGCTTGACTGAAGGGTGTATTTATGAATTAGTGCCAGGCCACTGGAGTGGAGGGTGGGTGGATTGTGAGGGCTTGTGTGTATGTTGTGAATGGATGGATTCTAGAGGGATGTTCTGGGAAGCATGATCATTTCTCTTTGAAGTAAGGATTGAGACTGCCTCAGAGATTCCATGTTTCACTCGGGAGGGAATATCTCACAGTTGGGCCTTCTAGATACAAGGCCCATGCGTCCTTCTTGAAGAACTATTCTCAACTCTTCTATTATTAGACCTGTTTCTGTTGTCCTCTGAGTTGATCTACAGTCTTGTATTTAATTTCAATGAGAGCTGTCAGGTGTTCTTCTAAAAGTACTCTTTGAACACTCTGCTTTCTTTGAGCTGAGTTCAATCTGCTAGGAACTCCACCAGTTCCTTGACAGGTACAGATATCAAAGGCAATTGTCCTACTGGAGCTCACTAGGCTCCCCAAGTATATCTTGTCCTTAAGAGTTCATAGCAGTTCTTTTAATGAAAGGCGAGACAGAGAAATGTCCAAGAATTTTAGCAGTTCTTGGAGGCGGGTCCCTCTTGGGACCCAAGAAGATGATTCTCTTTTCCAAATTAAATGAACTTGCAGTTCTAAGAATGACCTCTGGGTGGAGCTCATAGTACTCACAAAGAGCACAATGAACTGACTGCTTTTATGCAGTTTTCTACTCGGGCTGTTTTTGCAAAATTATATTTCTTTCTTGCCCTTTTTCTCTGCTGTCCTCAGTTTGATTGCCTTTTAATAGTCAAAAATAAAGTAGAGTCTCTGCTTAATAATTCCTTGAATCTGAGATAGAAATCTCTGACTATCTTAGGGCTTTGTCTTTCTGATATGAAGTAGCCCCTGCATTAAGAAAGGATTTGCTTGCATTCAAAGTGGAGGTGAATAATTTGCCTTTTCTTCCTGGTATGACTTGGCACTGTTCTTTGGGCATGTGTTGTATGCAGTATATCACCCAGGCGGAAGATTTCTCATCAATAATAGTGCCCACACTGGGCCAATGCTGAGTCACTTGGCAACCCATTGGGAAAACTGAAAAAATGTTCCTGATTTGCGAGGGGCTGAAGCTTTTCTCTCCTTCACCAGGAAGCCCAGGACTGAAGCTAATTAAAGCACTTCTTAAATGAAAGGTGTTGACCTCAGCTTTCTGTAGTGATCGACCCCCTGAACCCAGTGGTCTGGATACTCATGGGTTCTGGTCTGAGGCCTAACCCCTTGACTTCATGGCAGTGACCTGTTCTCCAAATGGAAATGTGTGGATGTGGCTTTGTTGTGCTCTTTGTTAGGAGTGATCACTGTAAAAGATAAACGAGGACGTCTCTGCTTCTGTGAAGGGTAAATCTGTTATTTCTGTCTCCCTGCCTTTTCCCACTTGTCTCTTAAGAGGTCACGAGTGTTTTTGTGTTGTGAAACCTATGGTGTGGGTTTCAAGTGAAAATTTAGTATTATGAAATGACTACCAATTTTTGTTTAGGATTCTGTGTCCCCTGCAAGCATGTGCTCTCCCAGTAAGCAAACAGCAAAGGATGGGAGGCTTGTTATTTTTCTGGTTGTCATAGCCATCGATTGAAAAGTGAAGGATCTGGGGGGTTTCCTGGAGGAATCACCCTTTCCAGAACAGAAGAAAAGGCTCTCAAGGTCACTGCATAATGACTGAGGCAAGGCAGAGAGGGAGAGTGTTGCCTTTGGCCACCTTGGCCAGCTCGGGTTGAGATCAGGAGCAGTTTTTTTTCTCCCGATGAACTCAGTTATATAGTCCAAAGCTGGAGCCCTTCTGAAATACCTATCTGTGGTCTTTGCTCTTGGAACCTGAGCTTGTCAGGCTACACACAGAGAAAAGTACCAGGATGGAACTTGTCGGGAGGAAGGAAGCCTCAGGGATGGCTGTGAGGGAGTAGTACCCTTATCCCTGGCCGCCGTGGATGCAGAGAAGTGAGCTGTATGTTCCCAGCCCCACAGCCAGCCAACTCCCACACACCAGCTTTGAGGCAAACGGGAGAAGTTCTCTTGCAGAGGGCAAAACAGAAGTGTAGCCCACCTCTTTGCCTTTGTCTCTAAGTTCTGTCAGTTTTAGGCTTGAATTTCCCTCAGGCATGCAGTCTGTACCCACCTGTCAGCGCCCTGCCTACATCCAGAGTTGAGTCAGATGATCCCCGAAGGATGGCTCCACGATCAGCCACAGCAGCACCTCGGGAAGTGCTGAAGTGCAGGTCCTCGCCACCACCCACTTGCCCACCTTGAAACGCTCCTGGTAGTTCTGATGCACTGTAAAGCTTGGGGACCACTGTTCTGGTCCTCACCATATCACTTCACACCTGTCTGACTTCAGACTGCAGGCTCCTGCATTTTGTGTCAGGGGCTTTTCTTCCTGCTGTGCTGCTGTTCCAGGGAAGGTGGGGTTACCACACCCTGCTCAGCAGCCCTCAGCCAACAGCTGATGAGAGTTAGTACACAGATGTCTCAGCTCCCTCATCCCTCTTACATGTCCCTGAGGCTTCCCCAGTGGGCTGGAGCTGCTTGGCAGGATGCCTTTTATTGACTCCTTTCCTTTTTCTTTGAACTTCTCCAAACCCCTCCCAAAGGAACTGCATGTACTGGAATACTTGTCTCGGGGTTTGCTTCTAACGGGGTCCCCACCAGCACACAGCCCCTGGGTTATGCTCTCTTTCCATGCTTCCTTTCCTTTTAAGGTGACAGACACTACATTTCATTGTATCTGGATGTTAGTACACCTTCGGAAGCAAACTCAATTCCACAAACATTTCCAGCACACTGACAGCATGCCAGGCTGCGGGCCAGGAGCTGCAGATTGACTGGGGATGATCAGTACGTCCCTTTTCTGCAGGTCCTTCACACTCTTAGTGTGGCAGAGGAGTGCCTGTGGTGGAGTGCCATGCTTGCAGGGTGGATGGGAAAAGGGTTAATGCTGCAAAATAGTCCAGAGAGTCCAGGGGGATGAGGCTTCTGAGGAGCCGAATATGCTGCCTGGGAGTACCTTGCTTGGGGAGTGACCACCCTGTCCTTTCCTCTCTTCCTCTGTCCTGTCCCCAGCTCCCGTCATGGCTCATGTCCTTGCAGCTTGTAGGTTATACTTCCTCTGGGATTTCCTTAACTTGGTAATCCAACAGCTTTGCCACTGCACATCCAGCAGCCCTTTTTCCCTTGGTACTTTCATTCCAGTGGTGTCACATGCAGGGATTCATTTTAAACTGGCTTTTGTCAAAGTGTCTCCTGTCCATGTAGGTTACAGCTTCCAGAAGGTTTGCAGAACACCCTGCTTCGTGAATCTACTCCAATGTGCACCAGAGACACTGAGGGCCAAAGCAGCCTCTAAACTGCTTGCCCGTTCCAGCTCCCTTCTCCTCTCTAAGAGGCTTC